GACTTAAGCTAGTTTATGAGAGAAGGGGTGTCTCAAGTGTCTGCATAATGTGATTGGATAGCTTGGGCTGTTCCCATGTGGAGGGAAAGAGATTGCTGCTGACTTTCCCATCAGCCTGTCTGTAGTAATATCAGAATGAGGCCTTCTTGGCAAAGGTAACAGGGACACCTGGATTTTTTCTCATGTACTTAGAAGGATTGATAAAGGAAGAAAATGCATAGAAGACTTAATGGTGCAGATGGGAAAAAGTGTTTTGGAGAGCCTCTAAAATTGTAGTAGAGAGGCCTAAAGAAAATCCATCATTGCTTCATCTCTTTCCTGATTCATCCTTCATCCAGCTTTCTCCGTTCTTCTACAGAGAACTGGCACAGTAAATTAGCAACTGTCAATTAGCATCCTTGTTCAAACAACATAGACAGCAGAAACAAGTACCTGATGTAGCATCTCTTTTTCCTCCAGGTACGAGCCGGAGCGTGATGAATGGCAGTCAGTGGCTCCTATGCTGACGCGGCGGATTGGGGTCGGCGTGGCTGTGCTGAACCGACTCCTGTATGCTGTGGGGGGCTATGATGGCACTAACCGCCACAACACTGCCGAATGCTACTACCCAGAGCGTGATGAATGGGAGACTATTGCGTCAATGAAAACTATTCGGAGTGGAGCAGGTATGCGCAGCAGCAGGAACTCCATACTTGGGACTACAGATGTAAAATTTCTGCAAGTGCAGAAACCACAGGGGGGAAAAACTGGCCTTTTGTTTTTGTTTTAATGGAAATTTAAAATTTGGACAAATGGCAATATATGCACTTTTATACGAGTCACTTTCACATTACAATTTTAAGAATGTGCAATATGTGTAACTTGGTTTATTCATGCCCTACTTGTCCCCCCTTTGCAGGAACTTTCTTCTTCTGATGGTCTAAAAAGCATTCCTGTAACAAGTTGTAGGGCACCATTTGCGGGAAATGATTGACAGCAACATAGGAGCCCTTTGTCATACTCCTTTCATAAATCTAAGAAATCAGTTCTTTGTTGTTTTGTTTCACTTTTTTATTCTTTCTCAAAATTTTCATTTTTTCCTCAAAAAACAAGGCAGGGAAAATTGTCCTCTGAGCTTTATGTCTACCTTCAACAGAGAACCTTCATAGTTGCACATTGTAACTCGCTGCTATCTCTTCCCATTTGTTGTTCCACCTCCTCAATTTAAGTCTAAATTCTGTTATCTTAGTGGAAGAGTAAATTTGGGTTCTATGACTTAGTTCTGTTGCCAGGGATGGTAGCGGTATCCAGAAATGGGTAGGAATATCTAGCAGGTGGTTGCTGTGATGTTAGCTAAGCACTTGGCATATAAAGTCCCAGCAGAATTAGATGCTGGCAGCACAGAGTTCAAAGATGTAATGTTTTATATCATCTGGAAAGGTTGAACCTGTTAATCTTGAGGAAATGGGCAGAATTTCTGGTGCAATGAGCTGCACTGGCTATGGCTTGATCCCTACCAGTTGCTAGAAATAGGCAGCAAGATCCAAGCTTTGGTGAGGTGGGGAGAAATCACAAGCTGCCAACCTGAGTGCCTGGATCACCATCATATGACCGCAAGAGAGTTGTGATAGGCAGAACCTTCACACCTCCATTTTTTCAGTGCCACTAACTTTGAATCGGCTCTGGATGAATGGATGTAAGCCAAGGACTACTTGTAATACAATAAACTGGACTATGTGGAGTGTTGCTTCACACCCAACTGGTGATAGTTGTCCAATTTAGTTTTACACTGGAGTTCTGGATCTAAATTGAAATGGATGAACTAGAGGCTGATTTTGGTTGCAGCAAGAGTAGAGACCTCATGCCTGCTAATTCCATGGTATTCATATGCTTGGGGAGATTTCCCTACATTCAAAGAGCAATGTAGCTGTTTCCTTGCTTCTTCTGTTTGATGCCAAAAAATGGACATTCTAATTCTAGGTCCAAGAATAACACTGCCTTCTACTTGAGAAATATTGCCCAGGATAGATAGAAAAGATTTCCAGGCACTGGTAAAAGGCCCTCCAGGCATTGTTAAAACTCTAACCTAGCACTAAATACAACAGGCTTTCTGCTGCAGATTAAGGTTGCAAGAGATCCTGATCCTGAGAATGTGTTATCCCCTGAGTGTTGGAATAAGGCATGCCTGTCTTAATGCTGTTCTTTCCTAATGCAGGAGTTTGTGCTCTGAATAATTGCATATATGCCATGGGAGGCTACGATGGAACAAACCAACTGAACAGTGTGGAGCGCTATGATGTGGAGGTGGGCACCTGGTCCTTTGTTGCACCCATGAAGCACCGTCGGAGTGCCCTCGGGGTCACTGTATATCAAGGCAAGATCTACGTGCTAGGTACGTTGGTCGAGGACTATAGCAAGTACCTCTTGGCTGAATGTGGGAAAGTACTAACAGCAGTCACACAAGCTATGGGCATTGGGTCCAGGGGTGGTTTAGCTCACTTTGTTAATGAGGTGGAAACCAAAGCCATATTTTATTTGTTACAGCTAATAATCTATTCTTGCACATATTTACTTGGATGGCTTAGTGACCCCTTGAATACATTATATTGAGATGCACTGGATTGAAATCAGTGATGCAAATGTGTGTAGAAGTGCTCTTACTTATTAGTGTGCGCACACTATCTCCACATAGCAATTTTGGTAAGTCTTAAAGTGTTTCCATCTGCTGAAACACCCGGCTCTTGGAAATCTTGATCAAAAAACCAAGGACAAATAACATTACATAATAATTATAATTCAGGGTCATTTATATTCTTATTTGTATGATGCCATCAAAGTTTTGCCCCATTCAGCATAGTAAATACCTTTTAGAACGCACAATGGATGTAGCAAAGCAACAGGATTTATGCTAGCAAGAGGCAGAAGTTTCCCAGCTAGAAGTCTTACATGCTAACTATGGCTAAGACTCTTCTACCCTCTTTTCCTTGTTGCTGAGATTCCACATGGCTGGCTGTTACCTTTTGCCAAATAGAGCTGTCTACCCAGGGAATTAGAGCTGTACTGTGAGTACAAAGTTGTCCTGCACGGTTAGAAGACAAGGCTTTGGGGGTATTGCTTCTGATTCAGCTGAGTTCAGTCAAGGGCCTTCAAGGTAGCCTCTGGCCTCTCTTGGTTAATTGCTGATTGTTTTTCCTGCAGGTGGCTATGATGGACAAACGTTTCTGGACAGCGTTGAATGTTATGACTCCGCCACAGATACTTGGACTGAAGTAACTTGTATGACATCAGGCCGCAGTGGGGTAGGCGTTGCCATTACCATGGAGCCATGCTGCAAGCAAACTGAGCAGCAAAAATGCCATTGTTAATGGTAACATGGAATGTGCTCCACTTCCCTTCAAATGGAAGAGGGAAAACAAATCGGAGAAGATTCAGTATTATGAAATACCTGCTGCCAAGTTGTATTCTGCCAGAATAAAGGAAAAGTGCCAAAAAGATGAGAAGCGCTTTAAATCCCATTTGAACCGGCCTTGAGGCAACAATGAAGAACAGCTCATGCTCTGTGCTTTACAAGGGTAGCTACAGCAAATCTGTGGTTGCCTCTCCACGCTGCTCCTGCCTCAGTTTGGGATAGATGCATCAGTGAAGAAGGAAACCTCTCTGGGACAACTACAGGAGAGCTCGACTCACACTGGCTGTCGACTCACACTGGCTGTCTCTTTTCTGGCCCCTGGCAGGGAATGGACCTTCAGGAAATGACTTCCAAATCAGGATGGGTGGAAGTATTTTGTACATAGTGCAGCCCTGAGCCCTCCTTAGAAATGTGTATTATTCATAGTTTGGCAACCAGTTCAAGGTTAATTTTTTGCTTGTCAAGTTTGTCCAGGTGCAGGTGAGGAAAGGGGAAAGGTTGTGGGGCACTGTTCTGTGACTGCTGATCTGCAGGTCCATTGCATTCAGAAAGTATTCAGACCTCCTTCATTTTTGTCAATTTTGTCATGCTGCAGCTCAATTCTAGTGTTGTTGAAATTCATTTTTTTCTCATTAATCTACACTCAGTATCACACAATGACAAAGTGAAAACAATTTTAAATGTCTGTAAATTTATTAAAAAGAAAAAACTGAAACATCACATTGGCATAAGTATTCAGACCCTTTACTTAAGTACTTTGTTGAAGCACCTTTGGCAGCAATTACAGCCTTGTCTTTTTGGGTATGACACGACAAGCTTCACACACCTGGATTGGGGGATTTTCTGCCATTCTTCCTTGCATTCTTCCTTCCTTCAAGCTCAGTCAGGTTGGATGGTGACCATTAGAGGACAGCCATTTTCGGATCCTGCCAGAGATGTTAAGTAGGGTTCAAGACAGAGCTCTGGCTGAGCCACTCTAGGACATTCACAGAGTTGTCCCTAAGCCATTCCTGTGTTGTCTTGGCTGTGTGCTTAAGATCGTTATCATGTTGGAAAGTAAGCCTTCAGCCCAGTCTGAGCGCTGTGGAACAGGTTTTCATTGAGGATATCCCTGTACTTTGCTCCGTTCAGCTTTTCCTCAACCCTGCTCAAGCTGTAGGAACATGTCAGCAACCATCAAGAGAAATGGGAGGCACTGAAGCTAAATTTCAAGTGTTGTTGCCAAAGGTCTGAATATGTATGCCAATGTGATATTTCAATTTTTTTAAAATAAATTTCAAGACATTTCTAAAATTCTGTTTTCACTTTGTCGTTATAGGGTACTGAGTATAGTTAAATGAGAAAGATGAATTTTAACTATATAACCAGGCTGCAGCATAACAAAATTGACAAACGTAAAGGGGGGATCTGAATACTTTCTGACTGCACTGTAAGTGAACACTGATCACTACAACTTGAAAACCTCAGGTGGACCTTTACCTATGCTGCTTTTCTATTATCCCACAAGGAAGGGCTTACCCAGATGGCTAACTGCGTTTTTTTCCCCTTACCTGTGGGTGGTACATCCTCTTAGGAAACTGGTTTTGAAGTAGTTCTTACATGAATAAAACACTTTTTGTGATTAGTATTAATGTTTATTTTGCTTCAGTCTGTATTATTCCATTAATACTCTTCAGTATACTGTTCTGCCAAAAAAGTATGACATAGAATGAGCCATTGAATAGGAATATCTACTATTTTATCTACAGTTGCCAAAAGCTTCTTTATTCACCATGATGTATTCACCAGGTTCCAGAGGTAATCACTGATAAAGCAAGGAGAATGTTGACTACTGTCAAGGTTGATAGATTGAGCAATATCTGGTCCATAATGGGCTGAGAACAAAGAAAATAGTTAAGGAAAAAGTTACCTGTGTTTCTTCCCTGATCCAACCCCCCGTTCCATGGAATAGAACATATCAGGCTCCACAACCAAGAAAGACACATTGAGATTCTTCTAAGCCAGGGGTGTCAAACTCGCGTTATCACATGACTTATTGGGACTTTTTCCCCCTTCGCTAAATTGGGCATGGGCGTGGCCAGTGTATGACACATCTGGACCAGGGGCCATGAGTTTCACAGTTCTGTTCTAAGCAGTTTCCTTTATGTTCCTCACCTATAGAAGAAATCTTTTCGAACTAAAGCAAACTACTTGCACCATAAAACATAAACTCTGGGATCTATTAGGGAGGAGCTGTCTTCACTCTCTTTCGCCCTCAAACTATTAACAGTGGGGTGTCTTGCTTCTCTGGAATACACTCCCTCTCTCCCTCCCAGGAATCCAGACATTACAGAAGGATACTTCCTTTGATCAGAGGTGGTTCACAAGAATAGTCCCAGTCAATCTGGCAGATCTGATAATAAAGATGTACAAGATACCTGGCAGACATAACAAAACATGAGTTGCTTGTTCTGGTGCAGATCCTATCAATATCTACAACTGCTGAAATCTGTTCATAGGGTATGTTGGCTAATGATTCACAGGCCTCGTGTCAAATGAATCTGGAAAATGCAAAGCAAGGGAAAGCTGGCTGTGCGATGATTTCCTGGAGTGCTGCTTTGCTTTTTGTTCAAAGCAGGATGTCTCAAAATAGTCAATATTGATTCCCAAATGGAGTAGTAGTAGTCTAAAGTAGTTTTTATTAAATTATCTTCACAAAATAAATGTCTGAAAGCTGATGAATATAATCTGAGGTTTCATGAGGGTTGTTGAACTGAGGAGTTTGGGGACCCTGATTAAAAGTCTACTTCTTTTTCCCATTGTCCCATTTAAAAAAAAAAAAGCATGCAAGTGTTCCAAATATACTGCATGCATTAACTAGTTTAAATTGTCCATAAATGTATATTTTTACTAAAGTTCATAACTTCAAAACAAGATTGTCAAAACTACATGTATCCCCATGATAAATCAAAAGGAAATTTGGGGGGAGGGGAAAATAACATACATTAACGTAGCTTTTTTATGGTTTGATCACCATTTTAATAATTTAGAATATTTATCTGGCTGTCCAACTCAAATTACTTGCATAAAGGAAATAGATAACCAAGATAGAAGATGAGTAGCCTAGTCTTGTAATTTACCTTTTGCAAATGAGAGAGATTAGGTAAGATTTTTACTCACGTAGCTGACATAGATCTCTCAGCTTCTTCTGTTGCTTTCCACTGCTGCTGCCTGCTTTCTTCTCTCAAAGTCTCCAGTTGTTTTCTTAATTCAGTATATTGTGTGAGTGAAGGAATTCAAGTAATTCTCCAAACTAACAGAGCTCTTAATAATACTCCATCAATAATAGTTTCCATATTGTGGGAAATGATGCTGTGTTACCTGAACCATGTTTCAAAATAAGTGCCTGGAAATCCTTGGTATTTAGGCACCAAAGTACACTTCTGCACCAAATAATCCATTGGTTGTCCCGTTTTCTTTTGCATCAGAATCAAAATCTGAGCAAAAGAGTTAACTGCTCCCAATGAACAAGTACAAACTGCCAAGCCTTTTTGAAGAGGCCATCCATAGAATTGTTCATTGGTTCACTTTTATTTTCAAAATCCAAATTAACTAAAGCAAAATCTAGTTAGTTTATAGAACAACATGTCATTGTTTTCTTGCCCTGAGTAAACTTTATAGATGGCAGCTGTGGTTGGAATCCTGCCCAGAGCACCAATTTTAGAGCGGAGGTGGCGCGGTGGTTAGAGTGCAGTACTGCAGGCTATTTCAGCTTACTGCTAGCTGCAGTTCGGCAGTTCAAATCTCACCGGCTCAAGGTTGACTCAGCCTTCCATCCTTCCGAGGTGGGTAAAATGAGGACCCAGATTGTTGGGGGCAATAGGCTGACTCTGTAAACTGCTTAGAGAGGGCTGTAAAGCACTATGAAGTGGTATATAAGCAATAAGTGCTATTGCTATTGCTATTAACAAGCCAGGAAGATTCTTAGACAACATAGTATTCAATGGACAAAAAAACAGAGAGCCCCTGTCAGTCAAGGAGTACATCACTGGAGATGGTTGATGGACTAACTTGCTGACTCCACCTCCCTCCTGCGCTTCCTGCTTCCGCTCTGCTCATCATTTTAACTTCATATTACTGTATTTCCCGTTTATTTTTGTTTTATTCCTTTACTGTTGTTATTTTTACAATTTTATCATTTTTTCCGTTTTATTGTTGTATACCACCCAGAGTAACCCCACAGCAAAATGGGCACCAAATTTAACAAATAAAAAATAAATAAATGGCAATCACATGACTGTAGGATGCTGAGACAGTTGTAAATACAGGCTAGACACCAAGTGCCCAAATTGTAATCGGGTTACTTGCACTTACACTATGATCATCAGAATTTTGAAGATCAGTTGTAAATCCCACTCATTCACCTCCACCGTAACTTTGAGTGGCCATTGAGAGGCTGCTTGTAAGTAAGAACTACCTGTACTTCTGGTTTCAACATCTTGAGAACTATGCCGACTCTACCATGGAGCATAATAGGACACAATTTCTGTCAAGCCAACAAGACCTTTTCAGATGGCTCAGATGCTGGGCTTCCTGTTCATAGCACCAAAACACTGAAAAAAAATTACCCTTAATCCCAAAATAGGACAGTACAACCAGAATTTCTTTGAATTCTGGTCATACTGTCCTACCTTGGGATTAAAGGTAATTTTTGTTTACCTTTGAATTCTGGTCACGAGGTGTTCTCAACAACAGAGATAAAAGTTTATAGCTAAGAAACTCACCATGCAGTTTTACACATATTACATCACCTTTTCCTGCATACAGTACTTTATTAGGATAAACAACAGTTGATTTAGGAAAAAACTTGCTGCTTTCTCTAGGAATTTATACTGTAAAAGACAGCAGTATGGACAAAGAGAGCTTGTTTTTGCCTGTGCTTCTTAGCACTTATTCCTTTCTCTGCCAGTACTTTATGCAATATACTTGCTATTATATCAGCTTCTAACTAACAGAGTCATAGAAATGTTAAATCATAAAAAACCAGACACATCGCTAATCAAGAAGAGAAGCAACTTAGAACTGAGGAGAAATTTCCTGATAGTTAGAACAATTAATCAGTGGAACAACTTGCCTCCAGAAATTGTGAATGCTCCAACACTGGACATTTTAAAGAAGAGACTAGATAACCATTTGTCTGAAGTGGTGTAGGGTTCCTGCCTAAGCAGGGGGTTGGACTAGAAGACCTCCAAGGTCCTGTCCAACTCTGTTATTTTATTTTATTCTATTCTAATTCCTCACCAGAAGCCAACATGAAAGGATATTTAGTGTTGATCCTCAATTTTTCATCCTTTTCATTTGTCTGAAGCAATTCTTCTTCAATTTCCTGCAGCTTTTGGATACTTGCCTTCAACTCCTCTTCCCTGTCAGAAAGTCTCTGTGCCACTTTCTCCTCAGTAATCATGAGCTCTGTAGTGAAAGCAGAATACAGTATATATCCAGTTAAAATATAACTGGTTAACAAAACTGAGTTTTCAGCATTAGTTTTCTTTCTCATCATCTATTAAAATACTCAACAAATTTCTACACATTCTCTCATTAGACTGGGCCTTAGTTTAATTGCAGCCAATGATTTTTGAAATACTTTTATCAGTTTTCTTCAATTTGATGATCTCCAAACATACTAAAATTTCTCATAATCCTTGCTAGAATAGCAACAATTCATTAATTTGACAACCCTAGTTTGGGAAAAATAATCCATAAAATATACAACAGGGATGTGCAGTATGCACCATGCAAAACCATTCTCTTTAAAGAATAGTTGGTTTCAAACAACCCATATCCAAGTTAAAATATATCAGTTTGATTTATGTGACAAAATGGATCTTACTTGTTTACAATGGAAATTAAAATGAAGATTTCCGGCATGAGGGAATAGTAAAAAAAAAACCCAAAGTGGATAATTTATTTGATGGTAAAGTTTGCAGTGATGATAATGGCAATGGGGAAAGAAATGAAAAATGAAAAGGACGTGAGAAATGAATGACCATTATTATTTGGTGGTTATTCATTATTCATTGGTTATTCAGCTGCATAATCATTGTTATATTAGGAGGTTCCGTGGTGCTTCCTATAGACATTAATGGCTGCCTTCTCTGCTCTTTTATTACATGGAGATCAGTAGCAGTTCAGAGTGGGAAGGAAAGGCATGGGAAAACCAGTCAGATAATAGATGCTGAGAGCTGCAAAATTGGTAATGGTGGAAGCATGAAGAATTATCTTTTTTCTCAATAAACCAAGGCAACATACACCAACCTTGCACTATTTGCCCCATAATATCTGTCAGGGATGTTCCTACAGGTTTTATTAAATTGAAAGAGGGAACAACTAAAACTTTCCAACTTTTTCCTTGCCAAACTGTGACCATTTCAAAACAGTAGAATTTCCAAAACTACAATTTGATTCATGTTTAAAACAACATATTTTCTCCACTGAGTACATAGCTGTAATCCAAATTCAATGGGCTATAGGAGAGAACTGGAATACTAAAAAAAGGTCAAATATGCATCTCCAGATCAATTTAGTCTTTGAGTTTAGCAAATGTGAGAATGGGTAAGATGTGGCCCTTTGGCTTACTTTTAATCCTCTACCATGCTCAGTTTTAACTCTTTGACTTGAATTCTTAGTAAACTTTAAAAAAAAAGATGTAAATCTTTTTAACCTAGTAATATATATTTCAAATATGTTAGATTTTAATTATATATGTGACTGCTTACAGATATCAAAGTAAGACTGTTCTATTTTCAACATACGAGACTTCCAAAGTTTTCCAAAGTAGTATAAAATTTAATTTTATCTCTGATCATCACTGGAGGTTCTTAAGAAGAGACTGGACAGTCATTTGTCTGAAATGGTATAGGGTCTCCTGCTTGAGCAGGGGGCTAGACTAGAAGACCTCCAAGATCCTTTCCAGCTCTATTCTGATTAATTTGACCTTTATTATAACAAATGTTGCAAATCACAATATATTTTAAAACAATAAATTTTAAGCAGGATCTGTGTGTGTGTGTGTGTGTGTGTGTGTGTGTGTGTGTGTGTGTGTATGTGTTTGTGTATAAAACCAGTGGCTTGTCATTGGTTGCACTATTACTGTCAAAATAATTTAAAATGAGCATAGAACCAGAAAATTGAGCTGTGATCCTAATTACCTTAGTATATTTTATTTTATTTAAATGCCATCTAATATCACACAGCTTTAGTGATATTGGATTTAAATCCTTACTGTTTTGTCAGTCTATTGCAATGATCCTAACTTTACTTCCATTTTTTAAAAATAACTCTTCATACTAAACAATTTCCTACTTTTTAAAAATGCCACACAATTTACATGGAGGTTAGGCAAGCCCTGCTCAATTATCAGTGGTTAAGTTTAAATTTTCCTCCTTAAATGACTAAAGAACCAACAAAGACTTGACTGCAGTGTTAAGTCAGGAAAAGCCAAAAAGTACCTTTGATCAGCTGTTTTGTGGTCTTCTGAGTATTCAAGAGTTTGTCAATCATTTGATCCTGTCGGGACAGATTGTGCTTCAGCATGTCCACTGCCTTGCCTTCTGTCAGCAGTTTGAGCAGCTCCCTTCTCACTTTTTCCATATCTTCAATTCGTTCACTGACAGCAGCCATTGCAAGTGCTAAGCTAAGAGAAGAATCCTCATGTTTGAGGGAATCTTAGTAAGGCATGGCTCCTTAGGAAAGAAAAGTGAATACCTAGCAAGTTTATACCTGAAACCCAGCAGATACAGGGACCATAAGCCCTTTATTACAAAAGGCAATCCTTTATTTCAGAAAGTTGTCCATTAAGTTAATCATTTATTTTCTTGGTTTTGCTCTGGATTTTTTGTTTGTAAAACAAAGCTATAAAAACACTTTTTTATGATCCTCTCTCATGTTTTGTCCCTTTTTCAGGTCTATATTTTATGTTTTCCAAGAAAATATGCCTCACTCTAGGATAGTATAATGGTTAAGGTGCTGAATAGCTTTTACGAGTCCTCCATCTTCTTCACTGATGGAAACTCACTGGGTGACTTTGGACTGCCATTCTCTCTACCTACCTACCTCAAAAGATTGCTGTGGTCAATAAATGGAGAATAGGATGCCATGTGCACCTTTTCCTCTTTGGAACAAAAGATGGGATATACAGGCAGCCCTTGACTTACAACCATCCGTTTAGTGACTGTTTGAAGTTACAACAGCATTGAAAAAAGTGACTTATGACCATTTTTTTCACTCATCGACCATTACAGCATTCCCTTAGTCAGGTGATCAAAATTTGGACACTTGCAGTGTTTCAGGATCATGTGATCACCTTTTGTGACCTTTTGACAAGCCGTCAATGGGGAAGCCAGATTCTCTTAAGCACCATGTTACTAACTGAACAATTGCAGTGATTCACTTAACAACTGTCTTGCTTAGGAACAGAATTTTTGGGCTCAATTGTGGTCGTAAGTAGAGGACTACCTGTAAAGGGCAGCAGGACTGCTAGTTCTGAAGAAAAAATGGGATATATCAACCAACCAACCAACCAACCAACCAACCAAAACAAGTTAAAAAGGGACTTCTTATATTTAAAACAAAGTATGATATAACTACAATAGCACAAGATATGAAAAAGGCTAAGCAGGCAAGCGAGCTCCTTATTGACATGGACTTCCAATACAGCGCTAAAGCTGACTTTTGGGCAATTAATACAAGCTCCGAGCGATGGTTTCCCTCTCCCGGACTTCGAAAGCGTGTACGTGAGAATCCATATCATGCAACTGTCCACCTTCGCCACTCGAGCGCGAGCCCTCCACTCCTTACCCAATGCCGCCGACCCAGGCGAATCCAATCCTGGCGCCCTTAAACCTGTTAGGAATACGCCACTTCTATTGGTTGCCGTCAAGATCTGCAGGGCCCTGATTGGTCATCTGCATCATGTGCCCCCAAATGGACGCGTTCAAAAAATTCTATTCCGCATGCGCAATCCGCCACTGTCTTGCAGGCTTTCCCAGGTTTCCAAGAAATAGGAAAGTTAAGAGGTGCGCACTGCTGCAATTTTTTTTCGACGCTCCCATTTGAACGCGGAGCGGGTTTTCTCACGCTGATATGAGAATGTAGTTCATCTTCTGTAGAGATTATAACAGTCTTAATCTTGAAAAGGAGGAAAATCTATAGCGATTTTCATTTTTTTCGCTGAACTGTGTCTGTTGAACATTTTCATACTTCTGCCTCCTAACAGTATCATCACGCATGTGCTTAACGACTTTTCCCCGCCCACTTCGTGCGCATGCGCCTACTAGTCTCATCTTCCCCTCTCAGCAAATGGGTTATTTTGAAAGGAAGAGGAAAGGTGTGCTCTGTCGTTTAACAGACGACAGAGGGCGCCACTTCACCTCACGGATCTGCTGTCTAAAAGCTTAAAACAGCACTTAAAAGGAGAGACAGTCTTGCATAAATTTTGCATATCCCCAGCTATGTGTATAGATAACAAATTAGAAAGAATCCTGGTAACCCAGTATGCCTTTATCGTACGAAGAAAAGGCTACGATTAGATTATCTATTTGGCTGCTTAGTTTTCATAACTATAATTTTTATATTTAAAAAATAATTTCAAATAACACAACATGGCCATAATAAACAATGTATACAATGATGGTATATCATGAATGCTAAAAAGTGCTGGATAATTCTAGCTGTTGGAATGGGCAGTTCTTCAGCAAGAGGGCACCTTTAAACTGAAATTTATTTTCATGGGTTCTTTATTTATATAGTGCTTTTATCTTACCTTTACAGTAGCAATAGTTAATAGGCAATTTATTTAGTAACCAAATTATTTGCTGATCATTTTGAGGGGCCAAGTATAAAACCGTAATATAGTTTCCTCTCATACACATATGGGACTGTAATCCAGTTAACTATCTTATGAATTATTAAATAAAAATATCTTTTAATTATCTATGGAGATTCTCAGTCATACAGGTTATGGTTGTTCTAAAAGGTTTTTTTTTTTCCAAAAAGCAACTGGATTTTTTTTTCCTTTAAAAACGTTTCACTTCTCATGCAAGAAGCTTCAAAAGTGAAGAAGCTTCTTGGGTGAGAAGCAAAATGTTTTCAAAAGGAAAATCAAGAAAGTTCAGTTGCCTTTTGGAAAAAGCACCTTTAGGTTTATTTATTTATATATTTATATATATTTATATATAAAAATTATATATATATATATATATATATATATTTAGGTATATTTACGATTCTGTCTGAGCCAAGGTGTAAAAGCTATCTGAAGAAGTGTCCATTAGCTTCATGTTTTTTAAAAAAAATTAAATTTTTCAAAAAAAAATTATCCTGTAATCTACAATTACTACATTGCAAAAAAACATATGGACTACACATCTCGACCAGGGCAAAGCAATAGACGGAGTTTACATAGACTTCTGTAAAGCTTTTGATTCACTGATACATGACAAATTACTTCTAAAACTAAAATTCTATGGCATTTCTGGAATCCTACATAAATGGATAGCTGCCTTCCTGTCAAACAGACAAGTGGTCAAAATAGGAAGCACTGTATCAAATCCTGTACATGTTAATAGCAGTGTTCCCCAAGGCAGTGTCTTAGGTCCAACACTCTTCATACTTTACATAAATGACCTTTGTAATCATATTAAAAGCAACTGTGTTCTCTTCGCTGATGATGTTAAACTATTCAACACCACCGACAATGCAACTATCCTTCAAAAAGACCTTGACTATGTGTCAGATTGGTCTAACAAGTGGCAATTTCAAATATCTACCAACAAATGCTCTGTCTTGCACACTGGCAAAAAAAATCAAAACATAAAATACAAATTAGATGGACATGACCTTGTAGATGACCCTCACTCTGTCAAGGACCTTGGAGTACTCATTTCTAATGATCTAAGTGCCAGAGCCCACTGTAACAACATTGCCAAAAAGGCATTAAGAGTTGTTAACCTAATCTTGCATAGCTTCTTCTCTGGTAATGTTGTACTACTAACTAGAGCATACAAAACATTTGATAGACCAATTCTTGAATACAGCTCATCTGTCTGGAACCCGCACTGCATATCGGACGTAAATACAATCGAGAGAGTCCAGAGATATTTTACAAGAAGAGTCCTCCATTCCTCTAACCGCAATAAAATACCTTATGCCACCAGACTTCAAATTCTGGGCTTAGACAACTTTGAACTACACAGACTTCAGTCTGACCTAAGCATAGTACAAAAAATTATCTGCCACAATGTACTTCTTGTCAGTGACTACTTCAGCTTCAACCACAACAATACATGAGCAAATAATAGATACAAACCAGGGGTGGGTTCTAAATTTTTTTACTACCGGTTCTGTGGGTGTGGCTTATTTTGTGGGCGTGGTTTCATGGTCATCTGACAATTCCTTAGGATTTAGCAGAAGTACTGGTCTACCAGGCTTTTAACTGCTTGCAGAGCCGTACCAGTCTACCCATTTGTTTTTGGAGCATTCCGGTCTAACTATTTGTTTTTGGAGCGTTCCGGTCTACCCATTTGTTTGCACTGGTCTACCACCACACTGCCTTTTACCACTGATCAGCTGTAGGGCAGCCCTTTGAAGTGCTGTGGCAAGAGTTTAAACAGTTTTTTTCCTTCTAGCCGATCAGCTGGGACTCGGGAGGCAGCGAATAGATTGGGGGCGGAGCCAGGCAGAGGTGGTATTTACCGGTTTTCTCTGAACTACTCAAAATTTCCACTACCGGTTCGCAAGAATCGGGGAGAACAGGTAGCAACCCACCACTGATACAAACTCAAGGTAAACCGTTCCAAACTCGATTGCAGAAAATATGACTTCAGTAACAGAGTGGTCAATGCCTGGAATGCACTACCTGACTCTGTAGTTTCTTCCCCAAACCCCCAAAACTTTAACCTTAAACTGTCTACTGTTGACCTCACCCCATTCCTAAGAGGCCTGTAAGGCGCGTGCATAAGTGCACCAGTGTGCCTACTTTCCCTGTCCTAATATTCCTTTTTACTTACTCTTTTCATGTATTCAAATTATGTTTATACTTTTACCTGTTATCTTATATATGCTTGACAAAATAAATTTATGACTTATGTAGTTCCCATTATTTGAATCCTATATATTTTTGTTTGAACACCTAATTTTTTTATATTTAACCAGACCTGGCAATATAAATGGGATTATGCGTATCGTGCAATGTTTGAAATAATCTCATACAGACTGATGTTGCATAGTGCTCTTAAACCAGGGTTGAAATGCTCCCGGTTTGGACCAGATCACCCGATCCAGTAGCGATGGAGGCAGGTGGTTCGGAGAACCGGTAGCAAAAATCCCTGCCCCCACACCCCATACCCAGCTGAGCTGCACAATCATCAGAGGCTTTTTTTTTTTTTTACTTTTAAAAGCATTTTTTCTAAAACCTCTTCGGCTGAAAAAATGCTTTTAAAAGTAAAAAAAAAAAAGCCTGTGATGATCGTGCAGCTCAGCTGGGATCGTCAAAGGCTTTTAAAAGCATTTTTTTACAACCCCATTGGCGAAGAGTTTGTAGAAAAAATGGTTTTAAAAGCCTCTGATGATCCCAGCTGAGTTGCCTGATTGGCAGAGGCATTTAAAAGAAAAAAAGCCTTTGCCAATCAGGCAATTCAGCTTGGATCATCAGAGGCATTTAAAAGAAAAAAAGCCTTTTTTTCTTTTAAATGCCTCTGATGATCCAAGCTGAGTTGCCTGATCAGCAGACACTTTTTTTCTTTTAAAAGCCTCTGACGATCCCAGCTGAGTTGCCTGATCATCAGAGCATTTAAAAGAAAAAAAGCCTCTGCCGATCAGGCAACTCAGCTGGGATCATCATATCCTTTTGAAAGCATTTTTTTACAACCTCTTCGCCGAAGAGGTTGTAGAAAAAATGTTTTTAAAAGTAAAAAAAAAAATGGCCATACCCACCCAGTCACATTACCCCACCACCACCAAGCCACGCCCACAGAACCGGTAGTAAGAAATTTTAGATTTCACCACTGTCTTAAACTGCCCAGTGAAGATTTAGCAGCTGCATTTGGACATCAGCACATGTAGCTAGTGCTAATGTTGAATTTCCTTTTCAGGGGCATGTTATTTGAATCCAACCAGCTCAATTAATTACAGTATTTTTCTGAGTATAAGGCGCACTTTAGTTTTTGGGGAGGAAAATAAGAAAAAAGCTGATTAGCAGGTGGATCGGCCTCCCGGAATACCCCCAATCAGCTGTTCCCAGAGGTAAATTTTAGCAACAGGTTCCTTGGTTGTGAGCTCTGTGCCTTGCTTTTTTTTGCTTTTTTTTCTACCTCTGAAACTTCTGAAACTCCATTTCAGAAAAAACTTTTTTTCTTGCCTCTGAAAGCCTCCGAAACAGAACTTCAGAAAAAAAGCCTCTGAAGCTCTGTTTGGGGGCTTCTTTTCTGAAGCTTCTTTTCTGATGCTTTTTTCAGCCTCTGAAACCTTCATTTGAGAAGCTGAGCGGGGCTACATTCGGAGTATAAGATGCACCCAGATTTTCACCCTCTTTTTTGGGTAAGGTGACCAGACGTCCCGCTTTTGGCGGGACAGTCCCGATTTTTAGCAATTTGTCCCGCATCCCTCGGCGTTTTAAAAAAGTCCCGATTTTTCATTCTGCCTCCTGAGTCCCAGCTGATGGCTAGAGGGAAAAAAACTGTTTAAACTCTTGCCGTGGGGCTTCAAAGGGCCGCCCTACAGCTGTTCTGGGTTAAAAGAAAACAAATGAGTAGACCCATGCCTGCAAAAATAGAAAAAACAGCCCCCTACAGCTTCTGCATAGGTTAATTAGCATGTTGATTAGCTCGGCTTCCCCACTCTCAGCTGATTTGCTCTCAGCTGTTTTGCGCAGGGCTCTTGCTGCTTGCTAAATTGCTCAAG